ATATTATTTTAGTTATCATATTTAGAAAAAAACTTATCATAAGGTTCCAAGAGAAGTTCTTTGGAGAGATATAGAAAAGAAAGACGTTGATATAATTAATATTGAAATCATTAAAAATATGTATGCTAGAGTTATTTTTGTTCGAACAGATGGAGGATTTACCAAGTATTTTCCTATTTCAGTTGGTTTTTTTGATATGACATGAAAGATTTGGGTGGTATAAATGCCAAAACCAAAGTTTAGGTGTTAAATATGTAAATACATAGGAATTGAATGGTATATATAAATACGCCATCTTTTTCTATTTTGTGAAAAAATCATCGGCGTTAAGACAATCTTACAATTAAATCCATTCCCCTGGGAACAACCAGTGAGCGGACACGAGTAGAATTTGTGAGAGGTTTGTAGTTACATTGGTGTGAATTTTTGGCATTGGAAGTATCTTTTTAAGAAAATGTTTGCATCCTTTTAGACAGCTGACCAGGAGTACCATTGTTTGAGGATTCTCCCGTGTCTTTCCACATGGATGAATCTTACGCTTTGCTGAATGTACTTTCTTTTGGATGCTTTCGAGCTCGCCCTTTTGTTGCATCTTTGCTTCAGAGGGGTGATTAATCTCCTGAATTACTCTCCACCTATGAGTAGGTACTCTGTTGCTTTGTTCTGGAAATTTTATTGGTCAAAGATAGAAGATATAATCTTTTCTGTAATCCAATGCTGCTCTCTTGACCTCCATCACCTTTGCTTCTTCGATGCTAGGGCGTGATAACTTCTTTGATGCTAGGGCGAGGTAGCTCCCATGTTATTTTGCCATCGAGATTCTGCTTTTGGAGATATGGCTGGTGAGTGGGTTTTGCTTCATTAGAATCTAATCGATCTTGAAATACTCAAACTGGCTAATCTTCGTCTTTAATAAAGATTTCTTTGTAAATTGTTCGAGCAAAATTCAAATTTTTCATTGACTTAATTTCCATTAGCGGTTGTATACTATCGCAAATCATGATCTGGTGATAATGACTTTGGGCTTGGTTGTTTGTGACTTTGAATGAAATTTTCTTTGCATATGTTAGTATGATCCTTGCAATGCTCTTTAGAATCATGTTGATTTTGACTCCTAACCCTCTCACAAGCCCATTAACTTAACATGGTTCAGACTGAAATCTTCATTATCAGACATCTCTCACCTAGCTTTAGAAAGAGTGAAGTTTACTATGATTTCGATAAGTGCTTATGCTTTGATGGTCGTCCTTGGCATCTTGGTGACCTAGAACTTGCTCAGATCTACCATCATTACAAAAAATCTTTCAAAATGATCATGTTTGGTGATCACATTCTTCAATTGGTGATCAATGATGACCTTGAGGAATCTTTCGTACCCATGCTAGTTTCTCCATGATTATGTATCTTTATTTGTCACCATGTAAGTTTTTACTCACATAATAGATCGATCATTGCTTTTTAGTCTCTTCTTGAACCAAGAGAAAGCTTTTAACTTCTTCTCTCATCTCAAAGTATAATTGTAGAATCTTTCTAGATTGTGGACTTCACAACAATTGGGGCATGAAAAGGAGAAATTTTTTATTTTGGATGTAGACTCTCATTCGTCATTCAATGCAAAGTGCTTTGCATTTCTTAGGGTTTTAAAGAGGTGTGAACATCTATCGTTTCAATATGACTAGACTCAACCTCATGACTCTTCTAGTAAATCATTGAAACTTTGTGGTGGCCATTGGGTTAAAAATATCCAAGATTGTCTTCATTTCATTGGGTTTCAACATGATGCTTTTAGATGTATGTTGTTATCCCGATAAATTTCTTGATTCTATCCTAATTGTGCACTTCAAAGAGTTTAGAGGCATGTTGTATTTCTTCAACGTGTAAAAATTTACCTAGTAAAGAATATGATGGTCGACGGTCATACTTATCACTAGAAGGCCATCAGTATACACATCCATATTTCTTCATTTTTTATTTTTGAACATTTGGTTCATTGTTTGTTAGTAGTGGTCTCAATATTCATCAAATCAAATAGTTTTCTCACGTGGGGATGGATACATGCTGATTTGTCATTTACTTGAAAAAACGTTAAGGAAGCTTATTACAGAGAAATCAATTGTCAAGTCAATAAATGCATCATTTCGAGGGAATAAGTAACTATCCTTTGAGTTCTAAATTGGTAAAGATTACCTAATCCCAACATCCCCACCCACCCCCCCCCCTCCCCTCCCCGCCAACCACTTGCTACTCGATTTTGGTATCAGCACCTTCTTCATAATACTGGATTCAAACAGCTTTTGGACATCCTATCTTGTTGGCTTTGATAGATGTTTGTTGCCTCATCGATATTTTATATGATGAACTCGGTGTCTTTTCTCACATTCAACTTGTGGCAAGTTGCGTTGATATCTACCTCAAACCTCTGCAATTGTCTAGAAAAAACACTTTGAGGTCCTCCCGAAGAGCTTGGTCTAGTTTTCTCTCATGAGCTCGGGCTTAAAGGAAGCACTGATTCAGATATTTCGCCTAGGGTCTCCCTTTATCACTCAGACTTCCTTCATTGCTTTAAAGGTCTCCAAGCTGGCTTCTCTGTTTACTTCAAGCACAACACTTCTCTCGCACGTTTCCTATAGCCTTTAATTGTTTTGGGATTCTTATTGCAATCACTTGTCCTCTTGTTGTGAACTTGACTGTGATAATAAGTGGAAACCACTGCTCTGAAGGTACTTAGAAATAGCTTGTTAAAAATTATATTGTAAGTTGTTGGTTTGTCCAAAAACTGTGGTAACGGTGATTGGGGGCCGATGTTTCCTTGTTCTTAGGAGCCGATGGATTGATGAATCTCAAAAGCTTCCCAAATTCTCGTGCTCTTTGATGATGGTATGGGAAATCTAGCTAGAAGATGTCTATTTTCTCTATTTTCTTAATTTATTCTTGGATGCTTCTTATTGGGACAGAGGACCCACTGAAGTTCCCGACAGGTAGGGATGTTTGTCTAGCACCTAAAGGACGATGGTTTAGCCATGCTGCTATACTCTTTAATATGTATGTGACTGTTAACTAATTTGAGTAATTCCACCAATGCTTTTAGCTAATGCAGGCTCAGAACATACCTAAATGGCATTTCTGTTAAATCTTTGGTAAAAGCGGCTTGGAAGATTGTTGGTTTAGGATTTTTGAATTTCATGATAAAAATTTTGAGCTAACTTGTTAGGCAATTGCTTTGTCTTTGAAAGAGCCTATGAGTTCTTCCATGGTTTTTCTACATAAAGGTGTACTTCTAAAAAGTTTGTACTAGTGCTATTCTTTATGTGATATTAAAGATTAGAGCATTATGCAAGAATTGTGTGGTATGTATGCAATGCTCCATGTTTATTTTGCTGTTATCTCCGACATGAAAAGAATTCCACATAAGCTAAAATTATATAACGAAGAAAATGAAATTGTTTGATCTGAATGGTGAAATTGTAACTTCTTTGTTTTGATATTGGAGAACTTTCAGTGATGTCTTCTCCAAAACAAAATAGGCTTTTGGAGCTGTATTCTTATGTCTACACAGCAGCATGTCAGAATAGTAGAACCAAGTAACGTCGTTAATTGCTGGTCAGCTCTGCTAGCGGAAATTGTATGGGATAAATTTTCTATGTGGACTTCGGACGTAGCTCTACGTGCGGACTCCCAGTAATATACCGCCATGTGTGATATATTGGGTCCACCTAAAAAAAAAAATTAAAATGGAACTGCGGACTATGCAATAACCTCGAAAGAATCCCGAAATAAGCTCCACGATTCCACTTCAATAACCCCAAAATAACACTGCTGAGGTTATTTCCGGGTTATTTCGGGTTTATTTCAGGTTTATTGAAAAGAAACTCATATATTTCACTTCAATAATCCCAAAATAACTCAGAAATAATCCTGAAAAAACCATCGCGATGTTATTTCTGGGTTATTGAAGTGGAACCACGAAGATTATTTTGGGCTTATTTCTAGGTTATTTCGGGGTTATTGTAGTAGAATATATGGGTCTCTTTAATAACCCAGAAATAACTTTCGTTGTTCCACTTCAATAACCCTGAAATAACTTCTGTGATGTAGCACACGTGGCGATATATTATTGGAGTCCGCACGTAAAGCTACGTCCGGAGTCTGGACAGAAAATTTTTCCAATTGTATGGGAGAGATTGGGTCAAGATATCCAAAGTAAATTTTTTGTAGGGATGAGTTTTAAAATTTCTGAATTTGCGTTGAAACTAGGTATGTCAAAAAAGCTCATTGTTTGCGGACTGTTCGTGTTCGGTTCGTCAATGAGTTCGTGTTCGATTCTTTCGATAAGTAAACGAGACGAACGTGAACAGATTTGAACAGTTCGGTTAGTTAAACGAACCAAACACGAACAGTGATCAAACACAAACAGTGATGTGTTCGTTCGTGTTTGAATCGTTATTATTCGAAAAATTTAAAATAATTTAAAACAATTATATATAAAAAATTTATGACATTTTAAAAAATTAAAATTTATAAATTATAATATATAATAAAATAATAATAAATTAATATAATATATTATTTATATATATTAATATTAAGGATGTCAAACTGGCTCTTCGTTCGCGAACAACTCGTGTTTGGCTCGTTCGTTAAGAAACGAACACGAACAGTGACTTCACGAACAATTTCAAACACGAGCTTATTTCAAACAAACTAAATTTCATACGAACCAAACACGAACACAAGATCTGTTCGTTCGTTTATACCCCTAGTTGAGACGATTACAATTTAAATTGATTATTCAAATATTCTACTCATCTCAAATTAAATCTAACTGTTTGGAAGTTCTCAACTTTATTCAATGTTTTTCTTTCAAAGTTTTATCTTAATTTATAGCGTAGATTAGCTTGAAAATCTGTATAGGTTCTTAATTCTTGCCACTAACATACAAAAAATTCCACAAAATGCCACCATATTCTTATTTCTATATTAATCACTCTGCTTTTGTGCAGCTTGTCCCTGGTGGTTCCCCTGACCCTGAATGAGCCGCAGCTTGCTTGGCACAGGCTTTGCTTACATTTTCACGTTTGATAATCGTGTAACGATTTCAGGACTCAAGCCTATTTATCTTAGCTCAGGAACGTGGTAAATTTGTAATTTTAATTTTATAGGTTCCCTTAAATTTTTTGAAAAACCAGGATTTCATTATCATTTTGCAGTACATATTTTTTACTACAAAGCAACCGACAGAGCTTTATGAGGTTAATTTTATTTGCTCGTAAAGTTAATGGTTTGTTTGCATGGTTTTTAGTGTTAGAAGTTTTTGAAGATGCTTTTTAATCAATTTCATGCCGTGAAAGTATAGTAGCACCACCCTGCTTGTGAAATGAGAGCAAATACGTTTGCCAAGGTTAGGGTTCCTCATGATAAATCTTTTTGGTTTGTTTCTTTGTTTGAATAGAAGCTGACATGATGTCTAATGAGTCAAGATTAGCTTTCAGATTGAACTTTGAATTGAATGTACTTTTGATTTCATTGTGCTGGTTGTGCATGCATGGATGTATGAATGTCCATGTAAATATGTATTCTATTTGTATTTATACATTTATATTGTATGAATGTCTATAGGCTGACAACTTCTTATTAATATTCTTTTAATTTATTGAACTTGTCCTTTTAGAGGGCCAATTATTGCTTAGTTTTTTTAAAAAAAAACTTGAGCAGCCAAATTTATAAGATTTTATGTTGCTAAAATTTTGTTTAAAACAATAAGATATAAATTCTTAGTAGGATAAAAAAATTTGTTCAATCATGGATTTATTTATTGAAAGAAGGGAGAGGCATAATTCTTAGGAAGATAATATTAGTAATCCTCTCGTGCTTTCCGAAAAAAGTCCCAATTTCTTGGTTATTGTCTCGTATTTATATTAAATAGAAGTTATGTTATGAAATGTCAATAATACCATTGAGATTTTCTATTGTTATTCGTCTGTACGTAGTAATCATCAAGATTACGTTACAATGGTCAAATCCTTTAACAACGGATTATCGTTTCGCTTGATCCAAGTCTGGCAAGTCCTACGTATTCACTCGACCTTGTCCTAGTCGGTCACATAATTTGCTCCATGCTGCATAACAGTTTTTTGCGCTCCTCAGAGTTGTTTCTTCGATATGTTTCCCATCTAGGACTATCAGATTCGATTCAACATATTGGACTATCGGATTCGATTCGTCATATTTTGGTCATACAATCTGACATAGCAAAATTTCCTCATATTGCAACAATTAATCCAATAAAAAAGTATTGTGATATAAACATTTTCCAGAAGTGCCATAATTCTCTGTTTGCATTGGCCTCTTACTAAACAAACAATAAGAATTGAAAAACTGCATGCAATGATAATACGATCTGAAAGCTAATCAACCGTGTTAGCCGAACACAAAATATACTTACGTAACAATCTCTTTTCCCTCTCACGAGTTTATGTAGCAAATTGATCCTTAACTTCCCCTCTCCATTAACGAAGAACAAAAAAATCGATGAAGGATTAGTTGTCCGAAGAGGACGCTGACCATCGTAGTTGTCCGGCGGATCATAGCTGCATGTGATGATGACGCCGCCATTGTAGCACTTATTGTGACTGCATCCAAGTCGTAGGGTTGCGTTCCAAATAATCTGTGTTGTGCCCTCATATTCGACCAGCAGCACAGGCATTATCAGTAAGGTAATAAAGGCTTTTTCGCTGGCCCATGCGTGCACGGCATCGGAAGCTCTCCAGTTCCGTCCTGATCCGCATGACATGTTCTCCCCGTAAGGCCCATGGAATGGATTTAAATTTGCGACGACATACGCAGCTCTGCATACGTCAATCAGGTAGGTTACATGGAGGGTATTACAGTTATATTCGCGTTATATCCCCTATAACCTACCTGTAACTACTGAGTTCCACGCTTCTGTTTTCATATATTTGTAAGTTATTGATAGGTTACATGGAGGTTGCATCCCTGTAACCTACCTGACATACGCAGTGCTGCGTACGTCTTACGTATGCAAATTTTTCTCCATGGGATGCTACAAACAACATTCCTTTTTTTTTTCAATGGTGGGACTAATGGGCAGGCAAGAGGAAGAATTGTTATTTGGATTTGCTCTGCCCATCACGCTGACATTAATTGTTATACACACCGTTAGGGTTGTGAAATGTAAATGAATCAATGCAACAAGTGGAGCTCGGCTAAAATAATAATTGGTTATGTTTATTGAAATTTATAAATAAATAAATGTGAGTTTCTTTTTTTACTATATAAAAGGATGAATTTAGGGTTTATTTGGGGCAACTGCAGCTTCTCAGCTTTTCAGCTGCAATTGCGCTTCCTCAGGAAGTTGTTGTGGGGAAGCTTGCTGCCTGTTTGTTACAGCTGTGTAAAAACACTTGTGGAACAACTGTTTCTGAAAAAAATGATCATTCTGCCCAAATGTACATTTTCAAAGAGAATTTGGAGAATCTTGGGAGGGAAATTCCTAACCTACATCCCAGCGTTCTGGGTGGCTCCCGAGCAATGCATTGAGACCTGGAATCCACGTAAATAGAAAAACCACATCTTGGAGCTCATCCCTTACATCATCATCTGTTTTATATGGATGGCGCACAATTCTTGTAAACATTTGGGAAACAACATAAGCGGGAATCATATAATAGCTAATGTTCTTCTTTATATATAAGTGTGATGGATTATACCACTGGCCCATCTTATTACAGTGGCTTGCACCACTTCAGCTCATTTGTGGGGGCACAAGAAATGAGAGGAGATCAAAGGCAACCTAGGCTTGTTTTGTGGCATAGGCTGAAGCAGAATTGGGTGAAGGTGAACTCTGATGATAGTTGGGGGGTCGGTTTGGCTGGTGCTTGGGGGATTTTCATAATTATAGAAGGAAGTGCTTGTGTTTCTTTGCTTCTCCTTGTGATGCTAATAATGCTTTGGTAATTGAACTTGGGTTGTTTGGATGGCAGTGAAGGTTGCCCTTATTGCTAATTGGAATTTTTTGCAATTGGAAGTAGATTCTCTTCAGGTTGTGGAGTACCTTACTGGAATGAAGGAGGCACCTTGGAACATTATCATTTGCATAAAATGAATTGCGCAAACGGCTAAAAATCATAATATTTGGAGTTTCATTTTAAGGGAAGGAAATGGTCGTGCTCACTAGCTAGCCAAGATGGGTGCTAAGATTTTAGAGGTTTCTATGGGGCAAAATCCTCCTACAAGGCTATGTAGTTTGATTCATGAGGATAATATGGGACTTCCATACATCAGACATTAAATTTTTTTTGGAGTTTTCGACTATTTTAGATATTGGGTATAGTTTTTTTTTTGTTTGGGGTGAGTTGTACTCTTTGTTGGTGGAACCTTAGGTTTTTTATTTTCTGAGTGAGTTCTATTTTAATTGGATATAGATGGATCTAGCTCAATTTTTTTTTTTGTAATTTTTACCTGATATCAACAAAATTCACTACGACGTTCCTTATTATTATTATTATTATTATTATTATTATTATTATTATTATTATTATTATTATTATTATATGTACATATATATATATATATAATTTTTTTAAGAGAATGGGCTGGGGTGTGAGGTCCCAACCTGCCCTACATCAGGTTTGGGGGCAATACATGCGTCTAAATATTCGAGTACCCCTTCCTTAAGGCAGCAGCCGCTAGATGCGAGATTCAAACCCTAGACAAGAGGGGACTTAAAACGCTAAAGCAGATGCTCTTGCAACTGACTTGAGAATGTAGCTGAAATGGGGTGAAACAGTGGAGTTGCCTGCAGGGTGGCCTGGGCATCATAAGACAGAGAAGGCGACATCCAGGCACTCGAAACTGGCGCCTAGGCTCCAGAAATCGTCCAGGAACGGATTTTGATAGTTTTTGGTGGTTTTGGGATGTTCTGGAAGGTTTTATAGGGCTATGTACGCCCCAATGGGTGATGCAATGAATCTAGACAGTTGAAAAGGCTAGAGGTGTGCCTCATGGAGTGAAACGGTGTCTCTTCTAGTGAAGAGGTGCTTCTCTTGGAAAAAAGATTTTTTTTTTCTCTTTAAAAGGACGGGCTTGATGCCTCTCATGAGGAGTCTAGAGGGGGGGATTTTGGAGAGAGTATTAGCGCGAGTGTAAAGAGGAGACAGATTTTTTTTTTCTCTTTAAAAGGACGGGCTTGACGCCTCTCATGGGGAGTCTAGAGGGGGGGATTTTCGAGAGAGTATTAGCGCGAGTGTAAAGAGGAGACAGAGATGTAGATTTCCATCATGTCTGGAGAGATTGGTGAGGAATTTTGAGAGAAATGTGTAAAGGAATTGTATGAGCGGAGCATGGATCGGCGGAAGACTTTGTTGAAGAAATTTCCATCTTTCTTTCAAAGAGAAAAAGTTAAGTATTGTGTTCTTCATTATCTTGTAATTGTTGTAAGTACTTTCTAGTGGATTTGTTTTGATTTAATGAAATTTTATGCTTTGTTTTATCCATGCTTCGTAAGTAGTTTTATTTACTCTTTTCTTTTAATATGAAGTAGTAACATGTGTAGGAAAATTTATTTTATGATAGAATAATTCTTATTTTCATGTAATGAGTAATATCTTCTTTGCTTCATTGACATAACTTAAGTCACAATAATTTATGTTAAAAATTGTTTTAAGTGAAACTAAGACTCGGGAGAGCAGTGATCTTGCAACTTGAGTGCACTCACATTAACCTGTTGGCTATTAAAATATTTTAGGTGACAATGTAACTTTTAAGGAAATTTAATTAAATGATCTGTTTCTATTAGATGCTTCTAGGTGATAGATAGTCGCATAAAATTAATAGAATACTAAGTGTACTTATACACTCAGAAGAGGGTAGGTAGTCATGTTCATTGTTGGCACAAAATTTATTATATAATTATATAAATTCTTTTACTACTTTTGCCATTATTTTCATTTTACTCTTCATTTGCAATAAAATGGAAGCAATGTCTAGGAATTTAAATTTCCTTTGATCTTATCTTATTTTATTAATGTGATGCTATTTTCACTGGCTTTTAATTTTACTTTACAAACTGATCACTTGTAATGTTAAAATTTGTTGAGAAACTTAATGACCGAGAGGGCTAAGATTTCACCAACTAGTGAGCACCATATTTCACTTTGGAAAAAGCCATGATGATCATCCAAGAAGAGTGCAAATAGATAGGGAGATAAGATTT